GTGTGTGTGTGTGTGAGGAGGAGACTCAAACAGGGACATTTTAACAGACATGCTGAAATAAATGGGGTTTATTTTGGTTGCCTGTTCTGTGTCTGTTAGGTGTATTAAATCGGTGGAATGTCCTTGCGTCGGTTCACACGTCATCTACTTGTACCATGAGCAGGATGCCATGGCAACTATATAAATAGCTCTCGTACATCTTAAATAACCAATCAGTCAATGAAAATCCTACACTTGAGCCGGGCCACTTTCCGCCCACTCTCCTCCAACTTTCAGCAAAGCTTTCAGCGGAAAGGAGAGTTAGACAGCTGCATCAGATAACCAATATAACTGACATGATTTTTACCATATGATTTAATACTACTTTATACAACTGGAAAGAGAATTCACACAGGTTCTTACTGCAACAACAAAAGCCTGCAATGAAAGGAATGCCTCAACCTGCATTAAGGAGCTGCTAACACGCCTAAAATGATTACAAGCATCAGTGACTTCCAAGGATGATGTAGTATGGGTTTCAGTGTTGAGGTTCTAGTTTGTGGTTTTTTAGGGTTTCTGTGTTGAAAGGAATACATTTTTGGTCAAAAATGCTGAAATTGAAAATCATCACCATTAAAAGATAATTCTAGTTTAATTCCTGGTCTTGTTTTCACAGAGAATTATCACCTGAATCTGCAGCTCCCCTCGTCTTTACGGAGCTTTGTAGTGAGTTAAGGGTCTCTTTTCAGTGAAAAAGCTCTAAAAACCCTGTGATCAGCACCAAACAGCAGACAGATAAGTTAGCAAGTAGCTAATAAATACTTTTGCATTTAGCAGCCAGATATTTCTTTACGATAATGTGTCTCTTTAACTGCTGGATGTGTAAATTAAAAACTGTTTGCTTCACCAAATCAACTTAAAAGGTCCCCTTCCAAGCATGTAGGAGAAACTTTGGTGACCATGAGATGTGCGAAAAACACTAACGCCACTATCTAGAGCTAGCGTTTGGTTTGTCCATTCTAGGCTACTGTACAGTGTGTGGTGGACACCATGGAAGGCAGCCTGCAGCGTCTGTAAATATAAAAGGCTCATTCCAAGGTAGCAAAACCATGACAATTGTTATTTTCTGATGATTAAACACTAATAAAAACATAGTTATGAATATTATATTCCATTTTTCTCAATAGATCCTCCTAAATGTTGCACACTGGACTTTTAAGGTATAACATGTCAAACTTGTTTCTGCTGCCCCCAAGTGGACAAAAAAATCAGTTAATGCAAGTTTAAATAAACATAATAAACATCAATATTAACCTAATAACATATAGGCGAAGACTTAGTCAACTGCCGACAAAAAAAAACTTAAAAAAAAAAGGAAAGTCACATTTCCTAACAGCGGGTGTATTTGCCAAGACTGCATTGGATACAGTTGTTAAGTGAAACACAGGCATCTGTCTCTTAAGTGGTTTCTTCCGCCACTTCTGATCCCCTGACTCGTTATTTCATCCCCGTATCCCCGCTGAGTGGAGGAAACTCAGCTGACATCTATTCCCTCAGCCACTCACTCTCTCCGTGC